TACAAGATACGGAAATTATAGACAAATACAGACAAGGTTATCTGATGCTAGGTATTCCAGAAATATCGTTCAAATTAAAACTAAAGTTAAGACAAGTGCATATCGGCTTCAACGCGACAAGGGACTCGGTACCTTTTGAATGATTTTTTTTTTTTTTAAATTTAAGCATTTTCATCTACTTTTTATGAATATTATTAAATGGTTTTGTGAGACAAAATAATTTTAAGCTGAAAAAAGTTTTTGCTAGTAATTTTTTTAATTTAAATTTTTGAAGAAAAATTTTACAATTAAAATGTTTTTCTTCTCCTACAATTTTCAATGTCTCCCCCCAGTTTTTTTTTTTTTTTTTTGTGTTGTTGTTGTTGTATTTATTAGAGTCTTTTTAATAACTTCAAGGAATGATTTTGCAGTTAATGAATTAGTTTCTGAGAAAAAATAAAAATACACTTTTATCTAAAATCTTTTAAAACAAATATGATCTGTCACATTTTCATTTCAAATAATTTTTCCTTTCAGTATTTTGCAAAACCCATCCTTGTTTCTATAAAGTACATAATTTTAAATAAGCAGTAAAAATAATAAAAAATTTAGTCCATACCTGTATATGTTTTAGGACTTAAGTAAAAGGATTTATTGAAAAAAAATGCAAAAAGTTTCTCAGTTTGCATTTGCAGTTTAAAGAATACAAACTGTCTAAATAGACATTTAATCATTTCAAATCTTTAAAATTTTATTACTGAATTTCAATACACATCTATAATAATAAAAGCAAGTAATGTGTCTGTCGTCTGCCTGATAGCCAATCAACGCAGGGACTGGAATTTTTATACAAGCACAAAGGGGCTACCAGTGAAGGATTTCGATTTAATTAAAAAATTTTAAAAAATTATTATAATTAATTAATCACGGTTTTTTTGATCACTGATATTATTATTGTTTCAAATAACGTTCGATTGTAACAATTGAATTCTAGAGTTAGTTTGCATGATACTTAAATCGATTACAATTCATTTTTTTTTGTAAATCTAGTGGCCAGTAATAAATCAAACCTAGTGCTATTTATTCAATTGGTAAATATAAACATAAATTACAAACCTTTTTTTAAAACCTTATCTGGCCAGAAAAATTGCAAAAAAAATCATAAAACGCAAGCAGAATTTTTCTTTACCTGTTTTTGTTTTGTAAAACACGTTCAAAACAATTTTAATACATTAATTAATTATAATATTGTTGCGTGCGTACGGGTTTGTAATAGATTGATAATAGTTCGTAAATGATTGTCATTGCACTCAAATCCGATGATAGCTTAATTAAATTTATTTTATCAACAAAAACACTTCAAAGTTCTGGAATTTCCACAGAAATACTCGTACAAGTGTTTAGAATATCACTAAGTATAATCAGTAGTTATGCTTCAATCTAATAAGAACGTTAAACACAACGGAATGCAAAACGCATCTTAAGAGAAAGTTAACTCAGAAATATCTCCAATCTCACGCTGAACTAACAACTGGCAACAATAACAACTTATATAGCATAAATAATGTCATAAAAATAGTGTGGTATAATGAGATTATTACTTTGAAACCGATGTTTCGAATTGATGCCCAAGAAGAACCAATATTTCCCATTCTGCTTCATTGCATATCTTTCAAAAAAGTAAAAAAATCATCCAATTAATTTCCTTTATCATTTTTTTAAATGCGAAAAAGTTTGTTTTATAAGCTGTGAAAATGTCGGAAGTTTGTAACCGATATATTTTTAGATATGAAATTTTAAAATTAATGGGCGTCAAAAAGTCTAAAAATATGAACGATTTTCAAAAATTCTTCCCAAAATATTTTTAAAAAAATTACGCTAAAAATTTCATTTAATTTTTTTTTCCTCCACAGTGTGTTATGGTGCAAACTATAATATTCTGAGATTCTCAGTTTATTTGTTAATATTTGCAAAAAGTCGTTTCAACTTTAAATTTGAAAAAAATCTAATCCTCTAAAAATCAAAAGCGTGACACCACATCCACAAGCAGTGTATGTACAAAGTTTGAGTTCTATATCTTATCGGGAAGCAGTTTAAAAATCCATGACCATCTTTTAACCATAGCGACAAGCACCAAGAGTGAACAGCTTATAAAATTATAAATAATAATAATTAAAAAGCATATATTTTTCAGGAACCATTACGAAAGTTCAGGTACCAGTTGCGAAAGTACAGATTACAAAATTAACAACAGTAAACAACGTTAAAAATGTGTAAACAGTATTAGAAATCTGCCAATTCGGAGACGTGATTGTTCACAGAGGCTTAGGTGTAAAGGGAAGGAAGACGGTGGTCTTCTGAACGGGTCCTAAAGACGAAACTCTTTCATGTCTCCTTTTTCTCCTCTTGCTAATGGCAGCTGTGTGAAGGAGCGTTGCATGTGAACGGGGCTAAAAATAATCTCCATACCTTATTCCACACCTCCAAATACCAATGCCCCCAACAGGATGGCAAGACGATATTTCCTATGCCGAACTTCAATTCAACAACTTCACCATTAAATCTTCCCCCCCTAGCTTCTCAGACACAAAGCATGATGGGAACCAACGAACTCCAGCGAAAGATTTTTCAACGTCAACAGGGTTGCCATATAACACGCAATCACGTCAAAAACCAGCGCAGAACACATATCGCTACATTTGGTGAAATTAGGGCGTATATCAGACTTGTACCAGTTTGTAATTGCATACAGTAAAATCTCTCATAACTACCATCCAATTAAAAGACAATATCAAAATAAATGCACTTTTGAGGGTCTTAACATAAATCTGAAATTCAGGTATACGAGATTAAAAATACGTCATGCGCTAACAAACTGAAGACTGAAATGTGTAAAATATTTGGGTTATATTTCCGCTCAACATAACACGCCTTAGCCAACCAATGATTCAAGATATTACATATCAAAATATAATGATGAACTACAGATTCCTTTGTATGCTTCAGTGTGTGAACTTCGAAGGTAGCATCTATGATTTTCAGGAACAGTTCATATTTGAGAGAAACCATATTTACTTTATCTATTAATTGAAAAGCTGTAATGAATATCACTTTACTACATATTGTGGCATATGCTTATGTTCAGAGATGGCAAGTCCAATGACAAAGATTATCTTGGTTTTAAAATACATTTGGGTATGCAAGGGCAGCATCTTGGATTTAGTTACATGTTCGAAGAACGTAAGCGTTAGTAAAAAATGGTGTGCAATGGGAATATAGACAATACTGCTACTGGCTTAAGATGATAATGATGAAACATTGCAGACTTTATTAATAGAAATATTAATTTATGTCAATACATGATGGTAAGAAGCTTACTGCATGCACATTAGCATGCATTATGTATTGGATGCAGATTATATTGCATGCAGACATCATATATTAATCTAAATCTGTTTAAAAATCTTAGCAGATATTTAAAACTGTGGTGACAATTTGTCAGCAGATGGACATTCGAAGTTATATGCCATGGTCTTAAGAAATTTGAGATTTTTATGTAATAATATATGAGGTAATTTTTAAATGTTTAACTTTGTTTTCATAAAATATAAAATCATGTGTATGTGTTTCAATTTTAAATAATTTATATGATTTTTGATATTATTTAATTGTGGCTGAAAGATCTAAACACATGGCCAAAAACTCTATGTGCTACAATTCTTACAGGTGCAATATCTAGAATGGAGGTGGCACAAAATAGGTGTGGTGTATGGTGTATTTAATTATGGCAAAGCACACTAGGGCTATCTGCCTAAGGGGAAGGATGCCTTTCGTGGAGGACTTTCTAAGGGAAACTGGCTCGTATACATGTTACACATGGAAAACCACGAAAACGCCCATGCAGCCAGCCCGTTCGCGTGGTTCGAACCGAACTACCAGTGTTCAGCGACTTTACCACTCGGCCGCTGGTGGGCGGCACAAAATAGATAATATCCAGATATATATATACTCAACTATCCAGAAAAATCTCTTATCCAAAATTGGCTAGGTCCAGTTGGTAATGGTTAAAAGAGATTCTACAATACCCTCACTGCACAACATATAATTTACAGCTACGATTTAAAGCAAGTACAATATGACCCCGCTTAACGTGGCGTATATGTTCCATCAAAGTAGAGGATAATATGAAATAGTGTTAAACAAGGTTATCTCATCATGCAAATAATGGGGTTACTGGAAAATTGTTCAGGAATTTTACCATTCAATTTATTATGTTTTTTATAACAATAAAACAAAAATTTATTTCTTACAAATATAGAAACATAATAAACAAATATACATATAAAAATTAATAAAATTCTAAGTTAGTATGTTTATATTTCAGATCATTCAAAGGCATCCATAACACCCTGTCTTGCCTTTCAACTCCTCTCAAAATTTGGGCATTTTCAATAAATTAATAATAATTCATAATTTCTGTTATAGTGGTTAAACTGGTTTTTAGAAATGCTGCTGAAAGTTCTTTTTGCTCTTCTTCTTCCGCTTTCCAACGGCGTAATAGTAAACTGGTTTACATTATGTCTATGGAACCTTTCCTTCTTTACATAGCCATTCTTTGGCCTAAAGCTGCGTTCAATTTTGGGGAATCCCACAATTCAAATAAAAGAGTGTTAAACCAAAACAGCATTATGCAGGGTCTTATTGTACACTGTTATATGTCAAACAACAATTTTATATTCCCAGTGCAAACAAAATATGCAATATTACTGGCTAAATTATATGCCAAAAAATAAAAAATAAAAAATAAAAAATAGAAAATAGAAAGGATTTGCTTTTCCTTGAACCTCAAATTGTAAAAGAGAACAAGAATGATTTTTCTGCAATATCAATAATTAAACATATCATACTACAGGAAGTACTAAATAACATCCTTTATATTATTACACAAATTAAAAAATAAAGATTAATATACTTGCAAATTATTGCACATAAAACATAACCAAACATTGCAAAAAAAGAACCCTCGCACAGAGGGAGAAAATATAGAAATATGAATTCGACATACTAAAGCTGAAACTTACCGCAATGCAAAGTCTTGTAAGAATGAGTCGAGGACCAGATATATGAGTAAATAATGCTTGCAGTAACTTTTCTCTAAGAGGCTCATATAAATTATAAGGTAGTTCATTCCAATGTTTTGTAATTTTTACATGTAATGTACTTGCTCCAAAGAATTGGACTTCAGATGACTAAAAATGAAAGTTAAGATTATACTTTTTTACAAAAACTGAAACTGAAATAAGAAATATCTTTACTAAAAAGAAAATCATCATAAATTCAATTATAATCAAAAAGCTTAATTAGTGGAACATTACAAAAAACCCCAAAGAAAGAGTCATTAATTAACTGTGTTATTGCTTGAATGGTTGCTCTTACAGATTCATGGTCTCATTTAAGAAATGTAATAAATGCTTTCACACTGCAATAATTTTGGTCATGCGATACATTTTATAAAAATCCAACTCGAAGCTTTTTTTATATGTGCTCTCTAGCAAAAAACTTTTCAATTAGTAATTGACTGCCTATCCTCGGGGGGGGGGGGGGGGGGGGGGAGGGAGAAAAAGAGAAAAATACTATGAATATACAAAGCCATGTTTGAAAAAAAAAAATGGCAAATTCATATGACTTAATCACTCTCTTCTGGTAATAAGATAATGGAAAAATATAATTTCAGAAGCCACATAAGGAATTAATAATACATTCTACATTAAAAAATTGCATTTTAATATTTATATAAAATGCAAAACTTGTACTTATCGCCGCTACAGAAGCCAAAATAACAAGTCGAAGAATTGCACACATTCAGTATCCATGTACTGCCAAAAATCACCAGTTTTCGCCAATGAGAAACCATAAACATATTTTTACCTGTCTACATGAGGGAATATATCTCCTCATGTAAACAGGGCTATACAGGACAAAGAAGATAACGGCGTTAAGTTTGAGAAATATCACCTAAACAAAGCAACTAACTTTTAATACAGATTCAATGCTCCTAAAGACTTATAACGTCTTGTATATTTGGCTATCATAAATATCATAAACTGTGCTCAAGGTTAGAAGAATATTTAGTGAATAATCAATGAAGTTTTTAAAATACTACTGAGTCAGGAGAAGGGTGGGTTGATCTTTACAATATGGTAACTGGTAGTTTGGCGACATTTTGGAGGCGATAAAGATATACCTGGGACTTTGGTAATAATGTGAGCAGTACTCTTCCGATTACGCATTATTTTGTGTGAGGGAAATGAGAGATCATGGGATATGTCAAGTGATATTAATGGACGAATTACGGTTCTTTAATCGGAAAAGGGGGTAAATTGGGAAAAAATCTGGAAATTTTGTATTTTTATTTTTATTCTGTGTTGTGTGAAACAGTGTTCGTGAATTTTTGGATCCCATGGCCGTAACTAAAGTGAATTCGAAATGGGTATTTATGTATGTATTAATTTAATGTATGTGCTCATTATATTTTAAGTAGTGTTTTGAATTTAATATATTTTTAATTTAAATGATAGTTATTTTGTGAATTTTATGTTTGTAGGAATTTTGGTATACGTTTTAGTTGAAGTAAACGTGCATGGAAATAATTTAAATATCTGATACTAAGTATCTGTAATGGTTGCGGTATGAATTCGTTGTTGACGTGTATAATGTAATAGATGATTTAGAGGTAAAAGTTTTTGGATATTTTATTTATTTTATATGTGGAAATGTTCATATTTGGAAAGGGTAAATACTTTTTCGCGATCAGGTAATTTCATATATGTTCTTTTTACCGGGTTTAAAGATTGAGAAAAAGTTGTCATGTATTTTCGTGAAATTTTTCTAATTTTGAGAAAAAGAAAAAAGCAGTGTACATGGATATAGTGAAGAGTGTGCGCAATGCCATTTTTGTGCAATTCTGGGATGTTTTTTTAAGTAAAAATAAGTCGGCGTGTACATGGTTTATGTGTATGTGTTATTTTGAAAAACGCGTAAGGAGTATGGTATTGTGCACTTTTTCCCAATTTTGCAGTGAATATTTGTCATGATTAAGCAATTTTGTTAGATAAAATTTCTAGCATAAGTGTAATTCGGCTAGTAGATTGTTGGAAGAAGTGTTCAGTAGATAAAAAGAAAAAGAAACATGTCTTTAATTCGTGAAGACAAAATGGCGGCGGGAAAAAAAAAATAGAGGGTTGCTGTAAGAGAGTTGGTCGCCGAATTTTCGCTAAAAAAACGCCAAGTTACCATAATGTAAAGATCAACCGAAGGGTGTAAAGGACCCTTTCATTAGCTCAAATAAAGTTCATAGATGGCACCAATTCATGCTTACAAAGCCAATACTTTTGGCCTAACGTAAAAGGTAATGATTAACATAAAAGTAATGCAGTTAAAAATAGCCCAATGGCTTCACAGGTTAACTAACTATTGCCCAAGCTGGTTCTGTAAATTTGGTGCTACGATTAATTTATTTGTCTCAAAATTTTTAACTTTTATAAATTTACTCCTTATTGCCCAAAACACTGATTCAAAAATAAGATAATGATTTTATGCTGAAAACGTTTGGCTTTATTAAAAATGATCAAAACATTATTTCAGCTGTTGCTTTGAATCCTGAAAGTACAATGAATATACAATTTCATAATTTTTCACTTTAAACCTAGTCAATAAACTATCCTTTCCTCTTACAATAAAGTATGCCGTTAAGGCCATCATATGTTAATGCCATAAAGGATTTTACACAAAATTATATGTATTTCTGTTGAAAATATCACAAAGGTACATTTAGTAAAAAATAAAATTTCCTTAAAATCAAAATTATTAAATGGCAGAAAACTATATTTTAGTGATTACATTATTTACTATCCAAGTAGATATGAGAAAAATTAATTTTGTGAATAAAAGATGAGATTGACAGATATGAGATACCTGGTTTTAAAAATAATAGTAACACAAAGTATACTGTAGGTGGAATAATGATTACGTAAATAAAATGTTTAATACTGACAAAGAGTAGCATCTTTCTATTTGTTAAGAATATATATTAATAATAAGTACTGCAGAGAACAAAAGAAGTAAACGTAAATAAATCACCAGATATGCTTAACACTGCATACATCTATTCCTTGAAGACTTTTTGGTAAACATAATTAATTACCTTTGAAGGATGTAATAGCTGCCATGCAAAATCCCATGCTTCTGGAGAGATTTGAGCCAACATAAGAAATTGATTAGCTTGTGCCTGACTTTGAACATCATTGTAAAAATGATGAAGGGTCTGAAAACATCAGAATATGAATGAAAAAATAATCAAAGAAAATGATGAAAAGTGAAAAATTTCGTATGTTTCTATAATTCCTGCGGGTTTATATTAAAAAATAATAACACACTTCCCCATAGTTAAATCAAAACATTTCATACTTGGAAATAATTGTGTTTCTTTCCTATTTTATAAATATAAATGAAATTTCGTTTTATCAGATTTTGTTGTATTAGACCATCCACATTTATAAGCGTACAATTAAAATTTATACCAAAATATAAGTAAGTTTTAAATTCAGATGATGACTTTTAAGGATGTCACAGTAATTACAGTATGCAATTATTTTACGAAAACTAAAAGCTGCTTCATAGTATACTCACTTTAAATCTTAAAAAATTTCACTGACAAAAAAAAAAAAAAAAAAAAATTGTAAACTTCGCACAGTAATATAGAATTTTACTTACTCTTTCTATAATATCTACAGTAAACTGGTTTCGTATATCCTCCATTTTAAAAAAAAACTATATATATAATTTAAACACTCACTCATACTGCAATATTTAATTTCATATTTGATGTAGGCCTAAAACGTTATAAACATTAATTTGCACATAACTCTAATATATGCATATACATGCGCTTAAAATTTAAAAATATTTAAAAGAAACAAGCATTCATATTATGGCATTGGCAATTTGATGTCGCATGTTGAATTTTGGAGATTAATATAAAATTTTAAATAAAAATGATGCATCATAGAAACACGTTTTAGAAAAACACTGCCATATTACTTAAGCAGTTTCAAAACATTACATACAAAAAGGGCTTATCACGTGGCGCCATCTAATATAAGAAATATTAAAGAAACACATTTCATTTATTTCAATTCGAACTAAAGTAAATGACGCGAATGAAAAAACTAAATTCGTGTCTTTTGAGAAATTAATTTATTACTACAGAAGCTTTTTTTATTTAAATTTTACAAAGCACAAATTAGATCTAAATTCAATGCACATTCTGATATAAAATTATAAAATGACAAGAATATATTCCGCAATTCTCCGCGATCGTGCTGAGCTGTGTGTACATCCAGTTCTATGACCGTAAGCTCCGTTAGGTGTCAATGACCTTTAGTTCAGTGATCACTGATCAGCATAGAAGAGTAGGAACGGCTCTTAGAAAGTACAGTTTGTTACGCATTTCTGTGATGCAAATCATGGATTTCAAATAATGAAACTTATCTCGGCTATTGTTAAGAAGATGTAAATTTCTCCGAAGCTGGTAAAGAAGGATTTCTTTCAAAATTTCATTCATAATTTTCAAAACAGAGAACTTCACGGCATAACAGGTAATGTTAGTTTGTTTCCTGTTCTTTTATGTATTTAAAATTATAGTATTTAAATTGGATGGACAGTTTCGCCGTTACATTTATGACATTTCTGTTGTGTAGTATTAATATAATACTCTTATAAAAATATTATGAAACATTAAAAAGTGGTGAATTTGTTACTTAGTGTTGAACCGGCATGTGCTGGGTAGTATGTTGGATTGGGTATGTTTGTTTTATTAGGCTAGTGTGAATGACCTTTATTTTGAGCTCGGCGTTATTTGCAGTTTGTTGCTGTCTGCGGAATGGGAATAAAGTTATTTAAAATGCTTATTCTGCCTTTTATAATTTAAGAAAACCAAAAAAAAGTAAACGTAAGGTTTTCGCTTTTTTATTATTAATTTAAAAATTTTGTTAGTAAATTCCAAATTAAGTAAAAAAAAAAAAAAATCTTCCTCATAGACAAAGTAAAATGTGAAAAATAATAGCTTTCTTTTAAAAATTATTTAGATGGATTTAAAAAAAAAATCGGTTTATGCGCGGCAGTTCAGTAAATTAATTCCAAATAGTGTGCATCTCTTGCATATTAAGTAGACGATATACACTTTAGAAATCAGAAAGTCAAGAATATGAATTAAGCTGCTCAGCAAGATTGCATTTTTATACTTATACAGTATTTGTCCTTTTTATTAGTACTTTGTTGTATTATAAATCATATCAAATATCTATCGTGTCTTTTAAACACCCAAAAAATTCATTAAAGTACTGATGCCATATTAAAATTTATGATTTAGGCGTATTATGTTTAATTAGTACTTTTTAACCGCTTCTCTAAATGTAATTTTTTATTTGTTTTTGATAGTATTATTGAGTTTATTTTTAAGCAGAAACTGTTTTATTTGTTTATAAAATTCTGGAATTTAGGATTTAATTGTGAAGATGAAGTGGTTTAAGAAAAGTACAGGAATTTCATAAATACAGTGCAAAAGCTATATTATTAAAGTGCTACGATATGCAGAGTAAAATGTAAACAAATCATTATAATTAGCCCAAAGGAAGTTAGCACGAAAAGGCTATTAGTCTCGAAACGGGATTTTTTGTGTCGTCCACTATAAACGGCGAATCACATTCAGACTGTTGCCACCAAATATTATCACCCTGTATTAGTTTTAAAGAAATTAAATAATGAAGAATTTGCGTATGTGTATGTATGTTCCTCTCATTGTGAAAAAACGACGGTACCTAGGGCCGTCAAATTTTTAATAACGTAGTCCTCCACCCGAACATGTTAACCTGAATTTCGAATTTTATATTTCATTTTTGCTAGAACCTAAACGAATTTTTTATTTAGAAGCTCAACAATTTGAAAGCAAGCAGTGGCAACACTATACGCAGAAAATATATTTATCTCCAGGGCGCGAGACTGTCTATCGGAAATTCTAAAGGTGCTCTGTTTTTAAATATTTTGCTGTTGAATTGATTTTTATGCGGCACAAGTGCGAAGAAAGTGATATTTAATAAAGTGAACACGCAAAATGTTAATAATTAAAAGACGAAAAAAATTTACAAGCGATCTTACTAAGAAAACTGAATATTGATATGATGAACTGAAAGACTGAATAGAAAAATGTAAGCCAACCCTTAACACGGGTGCGGAAATCTAAACATATGCTGCTTTTAAAATTTTTGTAATTTAATTATATATGGCGTAAATGCGGAGAAAATTATGTGCTTAATTATAAAGCTAAAATGACAGAAGGATTAGCAGACGTGAGTTTAACAGAAGACTGCAAGCTCAGTCAGGGAGTAAAAAAACATTAGCAAGCCCTTTTGGCGATAGTCAAAATCTAAAACCTTTCAGATTTTCTTTCTTTCCTTCTTTTTTTCTCAGTGATTTAATTTTATTATTAACCCAAAAGGGGCGAATTAGTCTCGAAACGGAATTTTACGTTGGTTCACTATACACGCCGTATCTCTTTTCAGATTGTTGTCACCAAATTTCATCTATCCCTTGGTATCATTTTTAAAGAAATTAGGTAATGAAAAATTTGCATTCATGTATGTATGTCCCTCGCAAAGTGATAAAACAGCGGTGCGGAGAGCAATCAAATTTTGAATAATGTAGTCCTCCACCCGAATATGGGTACCTGGAAGCCCGAAATTTGAATTCGTTGTATTATTTAATTCATATTTTGTAAGTTTTTAGTGAATTTTTGATTAACAAACTCAACAATTTGAAACTGAGTAGTGGCAACACTGTTCGAAATAAAAACGTAACGATATTTTGATATTTGTTTATAAAGTATAATTTTAAGTTTTAATATTTTGGCAACATTGATATTTTCTAAAATTGTAAAAGAACGAGTTAAAAATATAGCTGGCATCTAGTGAGTTTGTTATGGTTTTGTAGAATGCGGTAAGGTTTCTTATGACTAATTTAATTTAATAAAGTTTTCTTTATATATATTACTATAATGTGTTTTTATTAGAAGTGTATAATTCTTTAGAGAATATCATTTATATGCCAATCACAAACCAACATTTGGTAGCAGAGCGTGGTTGTCCCCTCTGTTGATGAACTTTCATATAGATCATAAACCAACATATTCTTGCCATTCGGAAAAATGTAACATATTTAGCATTCAAATTTAATTAACAAACTCAGCTGTATGAAAGTAATGGTTTCGGCTCGAAATAAAATACTTCTGTCTTCCACTCGCCAGCGTGTTGCCATTCAGTAAATTAATAGCTAAAAACTAATAAATAGGATACTGTCAAAATTGGATCTGGAATGTTATTGAGTTATAAACTAAATATTTATATCAGTGATTTAAAAGCAATGATCACAGTTACAATACTTTTTTCTGCTTTTTAATGCGATTGATTTATGTCTAATTAGACATATTTAATATTTTTGTGAAATTATACTAGCTGGACTCATCAAAATCCCACTATACTATACTTGTTCTTTTTATAACTATTGTAAGCGGCTGGCGGTGCGAACGGCTAGCTTTCAAAGATAGGTGTTGTTGTTGGTGTGACTAATCTCACTTGTCTGACAGTAACATCAGAACAAGCCCACGAAATTTATCGTGTCAAAGAAGTGCAAGATTGCGCCTGCCGTTGGCAAGTACCTTGAGCACCATACTGGTTACAGTACGACTTTGCTCAGTTCCGCCCCCAGTTTTGATGGAGGAGGCGCCCCGGCGGAGGCGGCTCCGAGGGTCTTTCCCTACCATTACCTTCTCGAGAGGACTTTCGGCTCACTGCATATTTTGAGTTCCCCTATGCCGCACAGGAATTCTTCTCCGAGTTTTACGGCAGTTAGCGTCGCTAACCATTATCCCGGTTGGGCTGCTTTTAAAGAATTGATGTAGCGAATATACAATTATGTATGGCAACCTCTAATACTCTGTCGAGAATTCTAAACATATACTGTTTTTAATATTTTTTGATTTTGCTGTTGAATTTTATGTGGCGTAAGTGCAAAGAATATGATATTTAATAAATAAAGTTAACACACATAAAGTTAATAAAGACACAATTTTATGTTAGTCGTCTTTCTAAGAATAGTGAACATTCATATATTAACCTAAAAAAAAGTTTGAAATAATATAAAAAATATATGGCATTGCATCAGAAGTTCTAAATACATGTTGCTACGTAGCTTTTAAAAATTTCGTGATTTAATTATTGAACTGCATGTGGTGTAAGTGTGAAGAAAATGATGCTTGATAATAAAGCTAAAAAGACAAAATACAAATGTGCTAGCAGAAGTGATTGCAAAAGCAGACTGGTAGACTGAAAGAGCGTAAAAAATCTTAATAAACCCTTTTGGGTGACCGTTAAAATCTGAAACCTTTCAGATTTTTAACGATCCCACTATACCTGGACCACTATACTGTACCACCACTATATTGTACCGTTAAAATCTGAAACCTTTCAGAATAAAAGATAGCCTTCGAATATTCCAATTACGAATATCCCTGTAACCCATACAGAAGGCACTCAGCAGTAAATACAAAAATCAACTGTTTTGCAAAAGACACACAAACCAGAGACCCATGCGCATACACAGATGGCTCAAATAAAAGGAGTCGGATGTGCATGCATTAGTTATATAAATTCTCAAGTTAAAATAATACGAAGAGCTAAACTTGGAAATCAAAACAATATTTTCCAAGCTGAATTATGGCCCTCGAAAACGAAAAAAAAAAAAAAAATTCAAATATATACAGATAGTCAATCCACGATTCTAGCTATGAAAAGTATTAAACATAATTCTTCGATCATTCAAGATACTATCTATCACATCTCTATCTCGAATCCCGATATATATCCTACTATTTGCTATCCTAATGTTAAATCCTATGTGGTGATTTCTGGAAATGAAGAAGCTGATGAAGCGGGAAATTCTGCTATTACTGACACTGACACCTATCACATCTCTATCTCGAATCCCGATATATATCCTACTATTTCATGTGTTAAATCCTATGAGGTGATTTCTGGAAATGAAGAAGCTGATGAAGCGGGAAATTCTGCTATTACTGACATTGATAAAGTGACCACACGTCCCGCTTTTTGAAGGACTGTCCCGCGTCCAGCCGATTTTTTAAAATGCCCCGCTTTTCAGAAAACATCCGCATTTCTTATTTTAAATGTACTGTAAAAATATATTACCTATTATTTATTAATTATTATAGTGAATATAAAGAAATAAAAAAAAACACATAAAATGCATGCAGAGTAAACTAAATTAGGCGATGTAACGAGTTAGATTTACTCGGTGGTGTTCGATCATTGTTGTTACGTCTCGTCAAGGAATATGTATTGTTAACGGAGGAACAGCTGGCATTAGCTGAAGGGCTATTTGCTTTCCACACCATAAACCACAATCAAAGTTTCAGATCAATTGATTGTACGTCGCAAATGATCAAAACATTGTACGACGGAAAATTTGCAAAACCGAAGCAATTATTTGTAATTGCTTCGGACAAAAACCGAAGCAATTATTTGTA